CCTGGTGCTGTGTGGGGCTTTGGGCAAAGGCTGAAGATAAGACCCTAGCTCGCTTGTGCTCTCCCTCCCAAATGTAGTTTGATTGCAGGTGGAGCCACATTGCCTTTTCAAACTTGTAATCAGTGAAGCTGGGCTGGATTTTTATATAGTTTTATCCGGCTGTGTGTGTGGGGGGGGGGAGAAATGGATGGGGGCCTGGGGAGGAAGTCACTTGGGGAGGGAGAGCATGAGAGCATGAGCGAGCACTGAGGAGACCACAGGAGAAGGCAGGAAGCCAGGCAAAGAGCCATATAGCACACATACTTTGCCCCAGCCCCGGAAGGATCCACTATGTAAAAAATCCAGCCCAGCTTCACTGATTACAGGTTTGAAAAGGCAATGTGGCTCCACCTGCAATCAAACTACATTTGGGAGGGAGAGCACAAGCGAGCTAGGGTCTTATCTTCAGCCTTTGCCCAAAGCCCCACACAGCACCAGGAAGATGAAGTTTGAATTCCTTCCCCTCCCTCCGACCCACACATACCTTTTCCAGCTGCTTCAGAGAGTATTTCAACTCTGCTCTTGCCTTGGGTCCTCTGAAGAAGTCCTGCCCTCACTTTCTTCTCTTTGAGAAGCGCCTTGAAAATTGGCTGTAGGGCAGGGATACTGGTATGGGGGTGTGGCCACACCTCCATGGAATGGGTACACAAAAGAACTGCAAATTTCTGGAACTGGTACACTCGAAGAGGTGCAAATCAGCAGGAACCCACCTCTGGTGCTAGTGTACAGTAATTTCTGACCATCATATTCTAGTATGTTAACTTATATATCATTCACTAATTTATACATAGTATCTCTTTCCATGTCCACCTAACCTGATTCTTTCGCATTCCAACTTCTACCTCATGTTTCTAACCATTGATAGAATCTATTCTATGTAGCATAGTATTCTGTATCTCCTATATCTTTTATTTCTAGCATTAGACTGTCCATTTCCGCACAGACTAGTATCTTCCTATGCTTGCATACAGGATTTATTTAGTTATTTATAGACTATTATATGCAGAGTCCACAAAAATAAAAATCACATAATTTATTTAAAATGCTTATTGGATACCCAACTCAAAACCAGAAATCCAGGTGGCTCATAATTATAGTATTAAAAACAACAATTATACATAAAAAGCAAAAAGAGATAAAAACAAAAATAAGAAAACACAAAAGTTGGATTGGATATCTTTTCCAATGGCTTGAAAGCAGCTCCTCTTTGATTCCTTTGATGCAACCACAACACTCTTTTTCAACTCTGGCTTCATCCTATTTCAATATTTGGGAGAAAAGGCACCTTTTTACAGCCTTCCAGAAAGTTAAAATTGTAGGGATCTCAAGGGGAAAGATCTTCCACAGGGTATTCCATTAGAGGCCTTAATTATAGGAATAGGAAACCTACCGGTATTTTTATTTTGAAAAAAAGTAATCATGGCAAAATAGTTTTGTTGAGTCTAAACTCTAAAGATGGGATTTAAACCACTGGCTTTGATTTCTCCCTCTATGAGAAGTTAATTCAGAGTGCAAAACTTCATCCAATGGCTTGGTATGAGAGATTGAATTTGTTTCTGTAACAGGCAACCATATGCAAGGTAGGTGCAAACACTGCAGCTGACATTTATTCTTGGGGGGAAAAGATCCAGCTATCCTCAACACACAACTAGCAATTAGCTCCATTTTCTGATGTTTGCATCATTTATCCTCTCAGAGGAACTACAACTATCGTGCCTATGGCTTCAGTGGTTTGGCAACTGATTGCTTTCTATTGAATACTCTTGACACACCATGTAAAAAAAAAGGAAGATGTGTTTCACTTTGAGCGAAGTGTTGTCCAGTTTCTGCGTGTCACCACCGAGCTTCTAGGCTGTGCTGAATCAGCTCTTTGCTTTTGACTGACTTTTCTTTGAAGCAAAATGCCCTGCCTTGATGCTTTTAATAGAGGGCGTAAAGGCAGAACCTGCTGAGGCATTTATTTGAAGTAGCTTACTCCAGCAGCTGGAGTGGAGTCAACCATACTAAGTGAAACATTGCTGCTCCACATAGCCCTAGAGTCTATGGCAAATTATTGCCCATAAACACGCATGTAAGCAGAGTGGTTTGGCTTTGGAAATAATTTATTAATGGGCATATTCACAGTTTCCTTGGAGAGAAGGAAATTTACTTGGGGGGAAGCAGAGCCCACAACAGTGATATATCTTTTATTTAATGACCAGTTTGGATTATCGCTCTGAGCTATGGTTAAAGAGGGATCAAAAAAAGGAACATGCTAATACTGTACTATTTACATTTTCTGCCTTTTGATTCTCTTGTCCATTTTTAAGTGTGATCCTGGCATTAAAGGCCAATTTGGGCATTTTAAAAGAAAGTGGTAACTTAGATTAATTAATTGCTTTACCTTAACCTACACAGCGTGACTTTATTTTATGATTGCTTAATCCCTTTTCTATGACAGGCTTACTTTGAGTCAAATGAAGAATAGATATGCCAGTGGAATAGTTTAATGTGTGGTCTTTCATTTAACCTGGTTGTAATGTCTTTAGGCCTTTAACAGCTAATAACCTTGCGGTTTCTCACTTTTTTCAGAGTACTTCCACTTCAATATAGCAAAACACTGAAAATCCATTACAGCAAAGCCCCTGTATCTACATACCTTGAGTAGGATAAAATGTATAGTTTTATTTATTTAAATCATTTGTATGGAGCCCGTTTCTCAACAGTGATGCTGGGCAACCTGATGTAGAGGGAATTTCAATCATCCAAATGGAATGCAATATGAGTTACCATGAGCAGATTCTCCTGATCCAGAAAGAAGCATAATTAGTGTATAAACTGAACTTGCACAAAGTGAGCCCCACCATCCCCAGCTACAGCAGCCACCTGTTCTTCAAGCAGAGCTATAAATCGAGGAAGACACAGAGAGAGAGAGAGAGAGAGAGAGAGAGAGAGAGAGAGAGAGAGAGAGAGAGAGAGAGAGAGAGAGAGAGAGAGAGAGAGAGAGAGATTTTGATTTGGAAAGTGCACACCCAAGAAGAATTAGGGATAGAACTATGGCAGGGGGGGGAATTAAAATCCACTGCTACCAAGTTTTGCCAGGGTTGAAACAAAGGCTACTGTTCCAATATGTGCAAGGGCTTGTGTACTTTCACTTTCTTTATCAACTGCAGACCTATGCTTGCTCATGTCTCATTTGAGATTCTTTGACATGTGGCTTAGCATGTAAAAATGTGTGGTATTGTGAAAGCAGGAGTTTGTATTGCAAGAGTACAGCAAAATCATAGAAGTTCTGCTTAATATCATCTGAAGTCGGTGAATCTAATTAATGTTTTGTTTTCAAGGGTGATAGTAAGAAAATGGAAGATGTCAACATGTACTTGAGCCTCCCTTCAACACGCAGTCAGGTAGAGCCTAAGCTCTCAACCTTAAGTCGGAGTGCAAGCATTGTCGGAGGACTCTCTATAAGCTCAAGAGATTCATTTGCCATTTCAACTCTTGTTTGCTCAACTAAGCTAACTCAGAATGGTAAAAAAAAACAACTTAACTATTCTATATTATACTTCAAAGATATTATCTGTCTTTTTGTACTTGAATATATTCCTCCTCTTTTCTGTAGTGGGTTTACTGGGCCTTTTGAAGTGGCGAATGAAACCTGAGCTCTTGAAGGAAAACTTAGAAAAATTGAAGATCGTGGATGGTGAAGAAATTGTGAAGGTAGATCTTCTTTCAGCCAGGGCTTTCTATGAAAACAAATGCTATAAATCAGCAGGAAAGTTTTACAATTTTCTTGATTGTAACTTTGATTCGTAAGGGTTGTCATTTTTATGCACGACATGAAGTATTGCTCTTCTTCAAATATTATTGTATCACAGTCTGGTGAAAACTTCGAGATACTTGTGTGTATTTATTGTTTTCTGTAGGTGCAAGAACTGAATACATGATAAAGATTTTCAGAGGTGGTTTCATTGTTAGTTGAGAAAAAAAGGCTACTTCAGGCAGCAAATGTGGAATAAGTTGAATTATATGGGGGTTTCTGTCCTATCATGCCCAAGTATCCACTTTCAAGTTTAGTGGAGAAGATGCCTGTTCATCAGTATCAGATTTAAGAATTAAAGCCATATTTTTTTATGTACTATGCATAGGATAAATATCTTAGCACTATTTCTTCTTAATCTTGTCTAAGACTAAGATAGATTATCCCACATCCCAAAATTGTTTTCAATTGCAACCAAATGCTCTTCCTTTTGTGACTGCAGTGTTGAGTCTAGGGACTGGAAAATTCTGTACCTTTTGATAGAATGGATAGAGATCTATCTATCTATCTATCTATCTATCTATCTATCTATCTATCTATCTATCTATCTATCTATCTATCTATCTATCCATCCATCCATCCATCCATTTATATCCCACCTTTATTTTCCCGACAACAATCACCCTGTGAGGTGGGCTAGGATGAGAGAGAATGACTGATCACTCAGCTGGCTTTCACAGCTAAAGTGGGACTAGTACCCTCTCCTGGTGACTGGCCCAAAGTCATCCAATTAGGTTTCATCCCTAAGACCGGATTCAGAACTCACGGTCTCCTGACGATTGGTCCTAAGTCACCCAGCTGCCAACTCACAGTCCCTTGGTGATTGGCCCTAAATCACCCAGCTGACTTTCTTGTCTAAGGCGGGACTAGAATTCATAGCAAGATGGTGATTGGCCCAAAGCCACCCAGCTAACTTTCACACCTAGTGCAGATCTAGAACTCACAGTCTCCTGCTGATTAGCTCAAGTCACCTACCAGGCTTTCATGCCTAAGGCAGGACTAGAACTCACAGGCTCCCGTTTTCTAGCTCGGTACCTTTACCATTAGACCAAATTCATTCATTCATTCTCATTCTCAATCTCATTCTCTCTCTCNATCTATCTATCTATCTATCTATCTATCTATCTATCTATCTATCTATCTATCTATCTATCTATCTATCTATCCATCCATCCATCCATCCATTTATTTATGAGAGAAAGAGAAATTATATACATTCTTCTTTGTTGTTCATGTCTTTCTCTTTCCTTGTTTTTGTCTGCCTTTTATTCTGTTTTGGGAAAGTTTTTTTAATACGTTTGTTGATTATTGAAGTAAATCTCTAGCTATAATTTTGTAAATATATCGAATGGTGCATGTGCTTGCTCTAATATAAATAAATGTATGGATTTGTTGGAAGTATGCTGAATGCCAGCTAATGTGGAAATTACTCACAATAATTTCCCAACACATCTGAGGGAGCAAAATGCCATTACCTGACCTAAGGATTATAAATATTATTCCCAAAACACACTGGACTGGTTTGAAAAACATGGTTTATTCAATATATTGCAACAATATATTGTATACTGGTTCTTACAATAAGCCATGATAATTAAATGTCAGTTATCTCATTACCACAATACACTAAGCTAAAACCAAAGAAAATATGTTGTGAAATAACAAGTTGTATAAACCCAACCACTGTGTTGTCCCTTGCTTCCTCATTAAATAATGAAGTTACATTTCCCAAATTATTTCCAAAATTCATACAAGCAATACTAGAACTACCACTTAGAAACTGAGGTGACCATGGAGCAGTCGCTTTCTCTCAGCCCTAGAAAGGAGACAATGGCAAACCACTTCTGAGAAGACCCTTGCCAAGAAAAGTGCCAGGACTTTTTTTCTGAGAATAGTACAGAATCATTGAATGGAAAAAAAACGCCACCTTTCTTGTTATTTATGTATTTATATTTCATATTTCTAAACTGCCCATCTCTCTCAAAGAGGGGCTCTTACATAGCTTGGGAGAAATAGCAGTAAACAGTACGAGATGCCCCCATTCAGTTTTGGCAGGGTAGGAATTGAGAGGGAGGGGGAGGGAGGGAGAGAGAGAGGGGGGAATTAATTACACACTTCTATTAAGAGTGAATTCCTACTTCCCTCTTTCAAGAAAGTGTTCCTGTTTGTGTTTGGTTTAACCAGGTTTAACCATGATTAATGAATCCAACCAGTCTTTCTTTCCTTCTTTCTTTCCATTCTTGCAAACTCTGGACAGTGACATCTTTGTAACTAATTTTACTTCTGTTCTCACGAAACTTCATTTTTTCTAGGCCTTATCCATCTTTACAAATCATAGTTATAATGCGAATATAGTCAGAATTCTGAGTTTGATGTGTTTCCTTGTAATGTAATATGAAAATACTGGCCTAAAACATTTTCAAGAGAGTTTTTGAAGGTGGGAACTATATTTCAGCAAGGCCCCACAGCATATGAAAAGGCAGCAGACCAAATTGTGAAGGGGAAAGTAATCAGTAATGCTAGAAAAGGTTCTATTAATTCCACTAGATTCTCCCACCATGCTTTCAATCAACTAAAAAAAAAAAAAAACCACTGACGAGCCATCTGCCTGCCAGCATGTGAAATTTTTCCAAAACTAGGAACAGCAAGGGGCAATTATTTAAATTACCATGTATAAATTCATAGCTATGGCATGAATATTTTTGAAAGAGTGGAGGGGTCTTATTCAATGGATAGGAAAATGCCTGTAAATATAGGCTTGCTTTTTGTGTCTGGTACCTCGAATTTATCACCTAAGACTTTAGATAAATTTGGCCTGCTTATTAACCTCTAAGGTTTTTTTTTTTTTACAGTTTCTAGGAGATTTTTAGTTTTAATGTTAATGCTGATTCTGTTTTTCAATATGAAGTACTTGAATCCAGGAATATTAACTTGCATTTTAACAATTGGAATTCACTGTGAACGATTATAGCTCAGAGCACTTTAACTGTGAGTTCCTTTTGGCTTTATATTATGAGAAGGTGGAAGAAAGAGAGCAGTACATCTATATTGGTTTAGGTTTAGGTTAAGGAATGTATGGTATTTATCATTGGACAGTAAATGAGGGATAAGACATATTTTCCCATTCTATGTTCCAATCACAATGTTCTCTTAACTCTCCCTTGCCCCCTTTCTTTTTGGTATTGTTACAGAATGTCAAATAGACTAATAAATGGATAGAGAATAAGAGACTAGTCTAACTTTTATTACCAAGATTGGATTGGCTGAGCTAGATGCAATATATTTCTCTTAACTGTTATCTGTTGGATCTTTGCAATTGATCAAATGAAATAGACATGACTTTTTCTACTGCTTGCTTTATGAAACTTCTAAAAAACTGAATTCAGTGAGTCTGGAAGAGTTACAACACACACCCACACAGACATCCCAAAGGTAATAGAGTAGCATTGCAAGATCACAAGTTGGTTTAAATAAGAACACCAACAACCCAGAACTCTATAGTATTTACCTGCTTACTCAATTTAGCATTAACCAAGACAGAACTTTTATAAAACTGCATAATCCAGTGTAGATAACTTGCCTTGTAAAGTCATATATCAGAACATTTATATCTCATGCTGGGCAATATAACCACAACTATCCAGATACATTCTGTTGTGAGATGTATACTTTAAGAATGAATGATTTTGCAATTTTCTTACTCCAACATATATTGCTTCTCCATGCTAAGTATTGTTTCCCAATGCCTTCAGGCTGAATTAGGCCCCCCAATTATTGCAAGTGAAGCTTATGTGATTAAACTTGATTTATTAAACTGGAAAATGAGCCATACTTTACCTCAAAAGGGCCACCTGGGTGCTCCTTGTCCTCCTCATTTTGAGCACCATTTTCCCAGTAAAGAAAGTAACCATGTGCAAAATACTGTTTGGAGAAGCAGTAGCACTAATGCGATAAAGCAAACATAACTCATTTTCTCTTGATCAGAAGCTTCACGTAAGTATTCTTTGGGGACATTCACCTTGATTAAAGTAGAATCAGTGAGCTGCTGCTTAAGCATTCCCCAAACTTATAAAAATGCTGGGCATGCCCATTTGTAACAATCACAGATCCCCTGATTCAAGACTTTATTCTTTAATGCATGATTAACTCATAGTAAGCACAATATCAAGGCCGGGTGGAAAGACAGCTTGCCTTTGTACAAATAAAACAAAACAAACAAACAAACAAACAGAGAAAATATTCTCATGGTTGCAAGGATAATAAAAGCCATTCAGTGATCATTCCCTTCTCTGTTACACGAATATCATAGCTTTGTTAGGAAAATATTTGAGTCAGTGGTAAAATCTGTCATTGTCATGGTTGAGTTCTTTCTATGAAATTGAAGCAAAAGTTATAATTCTGCAAAGAGTTTAAACATTCAGGCTCTTAATGGACAGTCCTTTGCAAAGAGGAGGAACTGCATGATCACCAAGGAACAGAACAAGGTGATTGATCTCTGTTTTTCTTTATGCGGTCTGCCAGATGACAACAAACTAAATTGGGCCAGATTATTCTACAATGGCTCTTATATTTGTGCACTTAAATGCTTATTTCTGACCCTACACATTAATATGTCAAACATTTAATATTTTAATGAATGTTTAGAAATATTAAGTAGTATAAGTACTTTTGTTTAGGTAGCAAGTTTGGACTTCATATATTACTCACAATGTCTTTTAAACAAACATCAATTTACCTCTTAATCATCATCATGTCTCAAGGCCTTCTTGAGCAATTAACAGGCAGTTTCCAAGGTTCATAGACTCAACAGATCATGGAGTTGAACAAGATCTTAGAGGCCACCTATTTTAATCCCCTGCTCAGTGCAGGATCCATGACAATATTTTTTGACAAATGACCA